CATATCTGACGCAGTTTATCCACGGCGAAGATTTTTCCTTACCGTGGCGAGAATCTTTCAGGCCAAATTTGAGGATGAAATTGTTTGAATCTGGAAACATGTTAAACACATTAATTGTAGCCCTTTAAATTATATTTCTAGTCGTTCAAGAATCAGCACAATTTGAGGTCTACAGCTCAAGTTATAGCAAAAATACGGAAGCACATCCAAAGACATTTTTCTTTAGTTTCCAACGTACTGTTAACGACTTCAAGCCAAGTTTTCACCCTTGTCCAGTCAGAATTAGGAAAACCCAAAACATGAAAGTTGTAGTTCTGCTTATTAGCTTTGCAAAGCTTCTAAAATCTGGTTATTCTGAGTTTCCAAGCTCAAGTTACGCAATGTACGCTCAAAACTGTCATTTATGCTCAAAATCATCATTTAGGCCTGCAAAGACAAATTAATAGAATTAGGTAGCAATTATCACTCAAATTGTATGAGAAGTATCCTAAATCCTATAGAAATTCAATGCAAAATCAGAGGGAAAAATAGGACTATCAAATACCCCCAAACTTAAGATTTGCTTGTCCTCGACAAAAAGGAATAAAAATCAAAACAAAAAGAAATATAAATACCTAGATTGAATCACAATGCAAGTCTCAAAAATTGTTGGTACATTATTACAAAAAAAATGCTCAACACTTCAAGAAGTCATAAATTGAATTGACCATCTTTCTCTATCGGTCCCCTGAGTAGGTAATCCCCACTTCAGTCCACCTTCCAACTTCCCAGATTATTTTATGCAGAAATGTGAAGTTTATTAAATGGTAGTAGACTCCATAAGCCCAAGTATCGAACTACTCTCCACTAATGTGGACTAGACATCACTAAGGATCAAAAGGTCCTTGCAAGCTTGTAACGTTAGACTCGGGTAGTGAGCTCCAAGGAAAATGATAGGATAAACAAAATAAGAGAACTCGGTTTTCCTTATGCAAACACTAAGAGCTACATCAATCTCCACTTTCGAGCTACATCAATCTCCACTTTCTTTCTCAACAACCAATCAAAGTGTCAACCATTTTACAACCCTTAAACTTATGCATTTCTTATTTTTTATTTTGAATTGAACTAAAGAAATTTTTATTTTTTTATTTATTATTATTATTTTTTTTTGTAATAACAAATATTTACAACACCATTGAGGTCTATTGCCCCTTCTTCTTGCCCTTTTTGCAACCCCCAAACTTAAGATTTTGGTCTATCACTTATTCACAAACCTCTCAAAGCTCTTTGTGTCATACATTAGGTCCATAATTCTCCTAAAGGGTATGATAAAGTGTTTAGGGTATAGGGATTGGACAATTTTTGGTTTGCAAGGAAAATAAGGCAATGATAATCTCATAAGGCTCAAATGGGTGACTAGGGAAAGATTCATTCATGGATTGGCTGGAAAAGCTCAAACATTAAGAAAAATGTCTAAATCATTTCCTCAACAATGTCTAATCCAAGAATTTCACCTCAAGCACTTCTTAACTAGGTTCTAGAGTCCACCAACATTATCAAGACTTCACCTAACCACATAAAATGTTTCTAAGCATGCCGAAAGAGTGAAAATGGTGGTTGAACCACTCAACAAACCTCAAGCTAAATCAAGTCAACCAACCTAAACTTGAAGCAATGCTTAACATTTTCCAAAAATAATATCCCAACAATTCTAGTTTCATCATAGACTTATGCAATTCATCTAGGCAACAACAACACAACACACACAAAACACACTAAACAAATAATCAATCAAAGAACTTAAAACAAAAAGAAACACAATTTCGAGCTAAAACACACAAACAAACTAGACACAAAAATTTTGAACACATGGGCATCAATAGTAATCTGGAAACGGCGATTTGCGCCATGGTTCAGTTCTTCTACGGTGCGATGTAGAGTTTCGTGATCCAGAATTATGTAAATGCGCTACGGCGAAATAAAACTTCGCCACAGTCCAAGTGTGGGAAAAACATTAAGTGACTAAAATCATGCATTTTGGCCGTGGCGTAATAAAACTACACCGCGACGTGATTATGCAACGTGTTCGCACAATCGTACAATTTGAGCTGTGTGAAATAAAATTTTGCTACAACGTGAAAGCGTCGTCAAATGCGAAAATGCACATTTGCGCTGCAGCGTAATAAAACTACACCGTAGCGTGGTTACGATGAAGTAGTGTGCTATATCATCAGATTGCATGATTGAGCTATGGTGTAAGTGGAAAACGCTGCAGTGCAAATGTGTCATCATAGCATGAGTTGCTAGTTTTACACTGCGGTGAGATAAAACTTCACCGCGGCGCAATTCTATTCCTGTTGTGCACCGCAGCGTGATAAAACCATGTCGCAGTGTGAAAGGTGCTGTAGTGTTTTCAACGCTGGATCGATGCGTGATTTTGCAAATTCAAGAGGGTAATTTTTACAAATCAACCCACTCAATTCAAAATTGATTGTTTTGAATGTATGCAATAATTCTTGTTGAAAAAATTGCATGGTGCCTGGTACATGAACCTTGGACCTATGGTGAATGTTTTAAAGTATTTTTGGGTATGTGTGATTGTAATTTTAAATAGGGCCTGTGCGCCCTGCCTTTCTCCTACCTTCTCGATGTACATTCTCTTCTCATCTCATTCCCTTTGAATGCAAATCGAGGTTTCTAAATTTATTGATATAAAATTATTGTGTAATTAATTTCACTATAAATTTAGTATGATTGTCTTTTGTAATGTACTTTAAGACAGAGCGAGGATGAGGCAATTATGCTGGAAGATTCAAGATATTTTTTACAAGACCGCTAGGTGACCCACCGATTCCTCTAGGCTAGAGGAAATCGGTTTTAGTTGGGTCATGTACCGACACATTTATATTTTGCTTAGAATGCATGCTAAAGTTGAATTTTCAATAACATGGCAAACAATATCATTCTAACAAAGATAATAATCTATTGAGTGATAATCCGTGGATTATACTATTTTTCTTGTTTATTTGGTAGGATTTTCGGATACTTCACTTTGAATTTAGGCCTGAATTGCTACTTAATTCGTTCATTTCATTTTTCAGGTCTAAAACACATTTTTGGATTGAAACGAAGCAAAAATGAGGTCAATTGATTCAAATTTGAGAGTTTTCAGAGTTTAGAGATGTTCGGAGGTTGATTGGAAGCACCATTGAAGCTCAGCGAAATGAGAAAGAAAGAGAAAATTGAAGATTGAAGTGTTGGAGCATGCAACGGCAATTTCATAAGTTCAACCACATGAAAACAGAGTTTTGCCTCGGCAAAAAGCATTTGCGCCGTGCCATGAAACTCTCGGTTAAATGTGTGCTTTTGCGTTTCGTCGTAATGCCGTGGCAAAAATCAAGTTCGCCGCGGCAAATTCTGGAAAAAATTATTTTGTAAAAACGGTGTGTTTACCCATTTTAGTCTTGAGTCTTAGGGTTTGTGGGCACTATAAAAAGAAAGCTTAGCCCATTTTTGGAAGGGAGGTCAACATTTCTAGGTAAGGGAAAGAGGAGAAGGAGATTTGAAGAATTTAGGTCTCAAAATTAGGGAAGAATTCGTTCCTCTTTCAATTTCTAATATGTTGAACTTCGCATTTATAGTTTATGTGATGTTTTTCTTTATTTTGAGCATGAACTAACTCACTTTTGGGTTAGGGTTTTGATGTAACTTGGATTACAATGGTTTAGTCTATAAATTTGTGTTGTTTTTGAGTTCTATTGCTTGAATTATGTGTTTATTCTTGTACTTAATGCAATTGGATGTTGGGTGTTTTTGGTTCAATTGAATGTTGAGCATGATGAGACTGAGAAGTGATTCATGTGCTAGCTTCTTAGGGTAAACACCGTAGATTAAGCAAACGCTAGAGATGGGTTTAGTGATCTATGAAATTTTTATAGGATTCCACTTAGCTTAATAGACTTTGAACTATTAATCTTCATTTTGTTGGGTGCGAAAGCTTAATAGGGATAGGTAGGAGAATATAGCCTGAGAAGGTATAATCTAGAACTTAAGGAATTTGATTTATAATCCTTGCACGTGAATTTGGAAGTAATAGAAATTGTAGGCTAAATTAGAGTATCCTAGTGAAGTCGAACCCTAACCTCATTTGCCTTGATTTAAACTTGTGTTGATTAGTTTAGTTTAAATTTTAGTTGTTTGATTTTGTGCTTTAATTTTAGCTTTACTGTCCCCAACAATTCCAATATTTTTGTATTCTTCAATTAGTAATAGAATTAGGAAACTCGGTAATTAGCATGCAATCCTCATGGGAATGATACTCTACTTCATCATTGTATTACTTTTTACGACTAGTGCACTTGTTACATATGCATGTTTGTCGAAGCATGCATCAAGTTTTTGGCGTCGTTGCCAGGGATTGATTTTGTGCTGATATTGAAGTCTTCCAATTTTTGCTAAGTTGAAGTTTTAAATTTCAGGTTTACCTTTAGTTTTACTTTCATTTTATTTAGTTTATGCAATCTCACAATCTTTCTTTTTCTTCTTTTTGTAGTTTATGCGAAGAATCTAGAGATCGAGAGAACAACATGAAGACTTATTAGAGAATGAAAAGAGAGAGAGAAGAGACACTACATATAGAAATTGCAAACGATAGAGCTTTGAGGGAATTCTTAGTGCCCACAGTTGATGGTAGTGGTCCAAGTATCACTAGGCCACCGGTACAAGCCAACAATTTTGAGATAAAGCTGGCAATTATCCAAATAATCCAACAGTTGGTACAGTTTGGGGGAGATGCAAATGAAGATCTAAACTCACATATTGCTAACTTCTTGGAGATATGCAACACATTTAAAGCAAATAGAGTGTTAGATCATGCCATCAGGTTGAGATTATTTCCATTTTCACTAAGAGATAAAGCAAAGGGATGGTTATTAGCACTACCAGCAGGAACAATCACCACCTGGAATGAATTGGCACAAAGGTTCCTAACTAAATATTTCCCAGCAGTGAAATCAGTAGAGGTGAGAAATGACATCACATCATTTTTGCAGGATGAGAACAAGTCACTATATGAAGCATGGGAAAGATATAAGGAACTAATGAGGAAGTGTCCACACCATGGTTTGCCTGTTTGGATGCAAGTCCAAACCTTCTATAATGGGTTGCTTCCAAATGTGCAAACAATGGTGGATGCAACATCTGGAGGAGCATTGCAAAACAAGACACCTAAAGCACCCTATGAGTTACTTGAAGTCATCCTGGCAAGTAACAACTATCAGAGACCAAATGAGAGAATACATCCGAGGAAGTCTATGGGTATTCATGAAGTTGACGCTTACACGGCCATTTCAGCCCAACTAGCAGCACTTTAAAAACAACTAGGAGATATGTATGTTAATTTTATTCAAGCACCTTAATTAGCATGTGACTTGTGTGCAGGTAACCATGCAAGCATTGACTGCCAAGTAGGGAACACCTTTGCTTCATCATCCTCATCTTTAGAGCAAGTCAATTATTTGGCTGGAAATCAACGACCCCAGAATAATCCTTTTTCTAACACCTACAATCCTGGATGGAGAAATCACCCAAATTTTTCCTGGAGCAATCAAGGCAATCAATCGAACTAAAGGACAGTACCAAATCATCAGCAAGCAGTGAATCTTCAACCAATAGAGCAGAGGTTATCAAAGTTGGAAAATATGTTCGGGAAATTCATGCAAGAGACCCAAGCCTCATGAATGAGACACAGTCTGATTTTAGAAACCAAGGAGCATCCATCAGAAATTTGGAAGTACATTTGGGATAGATTTCAGAAAAGTTGAATGAGAGAGTTCAAGGTTCTTTGCCAAGCAATACGGTGACTAACCCATGAACAAGCAAATGCTATCACCTTACGAAGTGGGAAAGTCATAGAAGAGGTTGAATCAAGGAAGAAGGATGAGAACCCTTTAGAGAAGAAGGAGAATCTAAAGAAAAATGTGATGAAGAAATCATAGTGAAAGAGAAAGTGTAGAGCCAAGAAAAGGAACTTCATCAAGAAAGCATGCAAAAGAGAAGAAAAGAGAAACTACCTTTCCCAGAGATACCACCAGAGTTGGCATATCATACCCTACCTGTTCCTTTTCCTCAAAGGCTCAAAAAACAAAATCAGGATAAGCAGTTTATGAAATTCCTTGATGTATTGAAAAAATTGCAGATTAACATTCCTTTTGTAGATGCCTTGTAGCAGATGCTGAGTTATGTTAAATTCCTGAAAGAGATCCTTTCAAACAAAACAAAGCTAGAAGAGGATGAAACAGTGATGCTTATAGAAGAGTACAAAGCCATTCTACAGAAGAAGCTCCCACCAAAACTCAAAGATCCAAGAAGTTTCATTATCCCTTGTGTTTTGGAGACATTACATTTGATAGAGTTTTATGTGATTTGGGTGTTAGCATTAACCTAATGCCTTTTTCTATTTTCAGGAAACTAGGGATTAGTGAGGTGAAGCCCACAACAGTATCCTTGTAGCTCGCAGATCGATCCATCAAGCATCCACGGGGTATTATTGAAGATGTGCTAATTAAGGTGGATAAGTTTATCTTCCTTGCGGACTTTGTATTGTTGGATATGGAAGAAGACAAGGAAATACCGCTCATTCTGGGAAGACCATTCCTTGCTATAGGGAGGACTTTGATTGATGTTCAGCAAGGAAAGTTGATCCTAAGGGTCCAAGATGAAATGGTGACTTTTAATGTCTTTGAAGCTATGAAATTTCCATTAGAGGTTGATTCATGTTTTAGTGTGGATTTGGTGGATAAACTTGTAGCTGATACCATCAAAGAGATCACCCATCAACTACCTCTAGAAGCTTGCATTGCCTAATCCAAAACAACCGAGGTAGACAAGCAAAAGAAGAATGATTGTGCTAGGTATTTGGAAGCACTCCAATCGATAAACACAGGCCAAGATCCAGAATTTGAAGATTTTAACATAGAAAAAGAGAAGGAAAAGGCAAGAACGGAAGAACCTCCAAAGGTTAAACTGAAGCCTTTACCATCTCACCTTAAATATGTGTATCTTGGTGAATCAGAATCCTTTCCGGTAATCATCAATGCAAAATTGAGTAAAGTGGAAGAGGAGAGATTGATTCGAGTGTTAAGAGAGCATAAATCGGCCATTGGACAGACCATTTCTGACATTAAACACATTTCTCCATCTCTTTGTATACACAAGATACTCATGGAAGATGATGTCTAGCTTAGAGTGCAACCACAACGGAGATTAAATCCTTTTATGAAGGAAGTAGTGAGAAAGGAAGTGGTAAAACTCTTAGATGCAGACATCATCTACCCTATTTTAGATAGCCTTGGGTGAGCTCGGTGCAAGTGGTTCCAAAGAAAGGAGGTATCATGGTAATACAGAATGAAAGCAATGAATTGATACCGATTAGGACAGTCATGGGTTGGAAGGTGTGCATCAACTACAAAAAGCTGAATGAAGCAACAAGAAAGGATCATTTTCCGCTTCCATTCGTTGATCAAATGTTGGAAAGGCTATCAAGGCATGCATATTATTATTTCTTGGATGGTTATTCAGGATATAATCAGATCCCTATTGCTCCTAAAGATCAAGAGAAGACAACATTCACCTGTCCTTATGGTACCTTTGCTTACAGAAGGATGCCTGTTGGGTTGTGCAATGCACTAGCCACATTTTAGCGATGCATGAAGTTAATATTCAGTGACATGGTGGAGCGGTTCATAGAAGTCTTTATGGATGACTTCTCTGTTTTTGGTTCTTCTTTTGATAATTACCTTTCTAACCTTTCTCTTGTTTTTCAGCGATGTCAAGATATGAATTGTAAAGCCTGATGGTACTCACCATGCTTCCCAATTGACTATAGCGCCTTGGTCTTGGGTTCGCGTGGTGGGGGAGGCGAAAGAAATCCTTTAAAGGGGGGGGGGGGACAGTACTTCCCATGCTGTGTGATCATAGTCAGCCACCTGTGTGGGGCCGTTACATAAAAATGCACCTTTTTATGTAACGGCCCCACACAAGTGGCCGACCATGATCACGCAGCATGGCAGGATATCTCTCCCCCCTTTAAAGAGATTTCTTTCACCTCCCTCACCACTCGAACCCAAGACCAAGGGGCTATAGTCAATTGGGAAGCATGGTGAGTACCATCAAGCTAGCCCCTTGGTCTTGGGTTCGAGTGGTGAGGGAGGCAAAAGAAATCTCCTTGAGGGGGGGAGAGATATCCTGCCATGCTGTGTGATCATAGCCGGCCACCTGTGTGGGGCCGTTACATGAATCTAGTGCTCAACTGGGAGAAGTGTCACTTCATGGTTTAAGAAGACATAGTGCTCGGTCACCAGATTTCAAGGTAAGGCATTGAAGTGGATAAAGCCAAAACGGAAGTGTCAAGAAGCTGCCACCACCTACAAATGTCAAGGCTGTCTGGAGTTTCCTGGGGCATGGAGGGTTTTATAGAAGATTCATAAAGGATTTCTCCAAAATCTCTAAACCGCTTTGCAATTTATTGATTAAAGATGCATCTTTTGATTTCGATGATGAATGCATGCATGCTTTTCAAACTCTTAAGAATTTATTAGTGTTTGCACTCATTATTGCAATTCCCAATTAGGAACTCCTATTTGAATTGATGTGTGATGCTAGTGATTTTGCATTAGGAGTGGTTTTAGGACAAAGAAAGAACAAGGTTTTGCATGTACTTTAGTATACTAGCAAGACACTGACCGATGCACAGTTGAAATACACCACTACTAAAAAAGAGCTTTTAGCCATTGTTTATGCATTTGACAAATTTCGCTCTTATTTGCTAGGTGCTAAGGTGATTTTCTACACGGACCATTCAACGCTCAAGCATCTGTTGGCAAAGCAAGAAGCAAAACCAAGGCTAATAAGATGGATCTTACTCCTCCAAGAGTTTGATATGGAAATCCGAGACAAGAAAGGGTCGAAAAATGTAGTAGTAGATCATTTATCAAGAATTGAGCAACCGACACAGGGAAGTGAAGAGGAAACTCAAATCAAGGAGACATTCCCGGATGAGAAATTGATGAGAGTTGAAGAAGCACCTTGTTATGCGGATATTGCAAATTACTTATCATCGAGAGTGTGTAAACCTCACATTATTATTCCGATGCCCTAAGGAATGAAATTCTACCCTTTCAGGTAAAATTTTTTTTTTTTTGAATGGAAGGGTAAAATGGTCAATTTGCATGCATTTCAAGATGTGGCCATTATAAAGCATAAAGGGTGATGTCATTGAAGAGAAATGAGGGTAGAATGGTCATAAAGTAGATTGATAGGGTTAAATGGCTTAAACGGTAACCAAGGGTATAATGGTCTTTTCACACAAATCCATATGAATTAAGTATCCATAAAAGTACACCAAGGGTAAATTAGTCATTTACCTAATGGGATTGCTTAATTACCAAGTGTTTAAAAGAAGTCAAATGGCATTAAATGAGTACTAATCATTATGTTGTGGTAGAAATGACGAAAACGCCTTTATATAAAAAAATTATGCCAAATGGCCCTTATATCTAACTTTTAATGACCAATCACAATAGAGTAGTAATAAAATAAATATCTATAAGGTTTTAAGAGAGAGGAGTCGGCCTTGTACAACCCAAATGCATCATCTTCTTCTTCCTCTCTCAAATCCACCATAAAAGCCACTAATCCAAGCATTTTCTTAGGGGTCCAAGCAATTTCTTGAAGGAGATCAAGATACACCTTAAGGAGATTCAATTTGAAGGGTTAAGGTAATCCCTAAAACCCTAGCTTGATGAGTTTGAATGTATTAAAGCAATTTCATGAGAGTTAATGCTTGTTATAGGTGAAGGTGTTTATTTGGAGCCAAGGAGGAGTGTTTCTTTTGAGTTTTGATTGCCAAGGTAAGGGGAAAACCTCCCTTTAAACTATGTTATCAATGCCTAGGGTTAGTAAACCTTAATCTTTGTTATGTTAATTTGATGTATAAAGTTATTGTTTGTTTATGTATTGTGTGAATTGGTGTTGGTTGAGGTTTGTGTTGGAAAAGGAGGAGGATATTGCCACTTAAGATATTTGTAGTTGGACGATGGTTGGCACTTGTTTGAATGTGAAAGGGAG